TATGAAAATTAACTTCAATAATTTTGAGACATATGATTTTTGAATGAATTGTTATGTTATGTTGTAATAACAGAATAATAGTTTGGTAGCATTTTACTATGATTGAGTAACTTTTCTTTTGTGAATAATTAAATTATTTTCTGCCCAGTATCGAGTCCTTTTTCTCTTTCCATTTTTGACTTTTAACATAAGTAGTACAGTATGCAATTGGAGGTGGCATGTAGCTACTCTACTCAAAACCAGTGTGAATCGGTCGCCAATCTCACTTCAAGATTTTTCAAATCGACACAAATGCTGTTTTATGGTAAAATTATCGGATTTAAAATGCATATATCACCATATTTTAGGTCTATATTCGAATGGAATAAATAGGTGGTCACGTTACATTTGTTTATAAGGTGATCTTTCCCATTAAAACTGCCAGAATATGCGTCTATGCGTGTAAACTAGATGTTCTGAATTATTCCGTTTTAGTTGACAACTCGATTCCCGTACGTAGGACGGGCCACCTGCTTGTTTTAGTTAAGTTAGTTTTATTAAATTTAAATTACTCTTGACGCCATTCCTGTATTTATGTATGTACTTAAATGAATAAAGTTATATGAAATAAAATGAAATGAAATGAAGTACTCATAAAACCTAATGTTAATTAAATACATTTAATTGAAAATCAATTCAGGTAAATAGAAATTCGCTTAGTCGGCAGGTTTGCTGCGGCAGAGGTATTGTTGTTTATGTTTTGTATTGTTCTTTTTGCTAATTTCCCTCCGCAAGTAATTGTAACCGGAATTATCAAGGTGGTTCTAGGAAGGTCCTTGACCATTATAGAGACGGTTCACGAGTACGGGGTTTCGTGGCCCGCGGTTATCTTTGATCTCGGCCAATTTTAACCGACGGCCAAAAAATGGGTTCACGACGTAGAGCGTTAGCAGAGATCAAGCTTAGCCGAGACCAACGCTGACCATCGCTCAACCAGGGGCGCACCGACGGGGGGGGGACGAACGGGTCCGGTCCCCCCCCAGGAGCCTATAATATATACAAATAAATATACTGTAATTGAAAACGAAAAATAATAATAAAAGGGCTTCTCTTAACACCAAAACAATCCCAACACCCATCAATGTTAGATTGGGGGGGGATGTTCGATACGACGTTCACGGCGGCCAGGACAGTACTGAGAATTCTCTGCCCCCTCCCTAACATTCGTAAACCGGTTAAACTACTTTCCTCACTCAAGGGCCACTGGCACCGCACGGCGATTACCAACTGTCTCAAAAAGACATAACAGTAGTAAGTAGTGAAGAGGTTTTAAACGAACTTGCGAAAAACCCACGCCGTCTCGACATCAAGATTTGAATAGAAACTTATTTTGATCTTCTACAGATAATCTGTACTTTGTAGCAATATGTTGGTTTCAGTTTAAATATAAAATACATCACCTAAATTGAATTTGGTAATAACAAATTATTTTACCCTGTTTCTTCCTGTACTGTATTGGTTGGTAATTGGTATTGGTATAACCTTTGATTATTGTATCGGCATTAAACTGACGAAAAATCATAGTGTTCAACCACTGAGCTATAATTCTAACTGGAGGTAGCACTTAATGTCAAAGATGCGTGTCGCCAGCCGCCATGTTTGCGTGAGGTGTGAGTTATAAAGAAGCCATGTTATTGGATGAAAAAACTCACTGCTATGCAGACCTAGTTATAGAAGCCATGTCATTGGTTAAAAAAACTCACTGCTATACCAACCTAACAAAATCAGCGACACGCTCTTGACAGACTTCTGCCATGGCAGTGCTACCTCCAGTTATAATTTTAGCTCAGTGTGTTCAACGTTCAACCAAAGACAATCCTATGTTTGTCTGTGGTTCATCTCAATCCACTCAAAGTTGTTATCCTTAGTTTATACTTTTATACCGTTCTTGGACGTAAGCAAATAAGAGCCAGAGACTAAGTTAAAGGTGGAGGAGGTTCACTTCCCCCTCAGTTTTTAGTACTGTAGTGCTAAAAAAAATGCTGCATTGAAATTGTCAATTAATTGCAGCCGATGTTACCAGTGTTTGTCGGAAATGTTAACTCAGTTTAAATTGAAAAATTCGTAATTTATTATTCCAGTAAAACTTGTTTTTAAATTTAAAAAGCTAAGTTTGATAGTATTTTTATGTCTCAGGATCTATAAAATCTCAGTTTTCTGTATCTAATTAAAAAAAAATTTTAACTACAAAATTACATAAAATTGTATTAAGTATTAACACCAGATTTCACTTCCTAAACGCTTAAAAATAATGTTTAGAGAAGTTATTTTTCTCAAATTTTCCGGACCCCCCCCCTTCCCTGGGGGGTATTAACCCCAGACCCCCCGGTGTCCCCCCCCCCAAAGTCAAATCCTGGGTGCGCCACTGCGCTCAACAGCAGGGATTTTACGGGGAACTTTTCTTTATAAGGTTGTATCAACTTTTTAGATGTTTTCAACAATCAGTACCTAGTAAAAAAATGAAAAAAAAATAAATGTCATGTTGAGTGTAATGATATTGTTCGGAATTTAATGGCGAATTCGAATATAACATTCTTTTTGCTAACAAAAAACAATAAACGAGCAAATGAGATAATCCCAACATGATGTCAACTCAACCCTGCCCCCTAGCAGGGTTAAGTTGAAGTCCAAAACCATTGTTATTTATGCCCGAGATTATCCAATTTGCGCTAGACCATGACTCGTGAACCCGAAATTTAGCCCGGGGTTTTCTCTAATTGAACCCGTGAAGCCGACTTTTTGCGCTCGGGTTTATCCCTGTCATAATTGGATGAAGTTTAACTGTTTGCGCCCGAGCGCGGGTAACCTCGTATCCAGGCATTCCCGATGACGTGGAACACACTTTCTTCCACTGCCAGCGTTGGGAAAGGCCCCGCCTGGAGGTTCAACAGTGCTGTCGGTGGACACGGTCATACCGATGATGATGGAGGGTGAGGACAATTAATTGGACCTGTGTGTCATTTTACATCCAGGGTGTTCTCCGCGCCATGAAGCTCGACTTTGACTGGGATGCGGTGTAGGTCATAAAAAATCTAAATGCCAGAAACGGTGCGAGCCCTGAGGGCTTAGGTCACATGTTGGCCTGACTTGAAGTAATGTGATAAACAATTCCAGGTCTGTGTCCAACAGAGCAGAGGGGTTTTTTTAGTGAGTAGTCTGATAAATTCAGGAGTCTCACAATACAGGCTGGCTACCTGTGTGCGTAAAAGCATTTTCCCTCCTCACCCTAAAAAAAATTTTAAATAGGTGAAAATCAAAAGAAAGTGCCAATATGGCGATTCAGATTTTTCCAATATGGCAGCGGGTGGGGAGGGGGTAGATTGTGTATTTTGCATTATAAACACCTACTTACCATCGTAGACAGCATATAAAAAATTTAGAACTACCGAACCGTTTGTAAGTTAACCCCCCCCCCTCCCCAATTTTGTCTCTATTTACTGGACTATAATTGTACATCTCAATCATAGTCAAGCTTTAATGTACTATTTAAAAGCCAGATTAATTCTTAGTTATAGCTTAACAAGATTGATCATTTACTACCTAAAAACAAGCTATTGTGTGTATTTGTAGCAGTGTTCCATTATTTTAATTTTGCAAACCAAACATTGTTAATACTGTATACAGGGTGAATAAAAAGTCAAGACCCCCCTCTCTAATATTTTTCTAATTAAATATACAGAGATATCATTTTGGTGGTCGTGCAATCTTAGCAGTAAGTTTAATTTCATGATTTTGAAATATTTAAATGTACCCCCAAAAGGGAGGATTTTGGGGGCAACACAAAAGTTTTAAATGTAAACCCCTTCAAGTGACACCTCATTTTATATTGTTTACAAAAACTTAAAGCATGGTGAAAACCAGTGTTTGCTATTTCATCTCTATCCAAAATGGTAGCCCGTCAAATGTTATGGAAAATCAATGGTAATATTGGTTTGTAATTGTAATATTGGCTACCATTTTGGACAGAAGAGAGATAGCGAACTCTGGTTTTCACCATTCCTTAAGTTTTTGTAAACACTTAAAAATGAGGTGTCACTTGAAGGGGGTTTACATTTAAAATTTTTTAGTTGCCCCCAAATAGTGATCATCTCCCTTTTTGGGGGACACTAAAAAATGTTAAAAACATAAAATGAAACTTCATGCTAAGTTTGCATGACCACCAAAAGGATAACTCTGCAATTACTTAGGAACAAATTAATTAGTGGGAGGGAAATTACTTTTTATTACACAAGAAAATTAATGTAACAGTAACGGCATTAAACTTTTGATGGGCTACCATTTTGGATAGAGAAGAGATAGCAACTCTGGTTTTCACCATTCTTTAAGTTTTTGAAAACACTTCAAAATGAGGGTTCACTTGAAGAGGGTTAACATTTAACATTTTTGAGTTGCCCCTAAAATTCCCCCTTTTTGGGGGACACTCAAAAATTTCAAAATCATAAAATGAAACTTCCGATTGCAAGACCACCAAAAGGATATCTCTGTACATTTACTTAGAAAAATTTTAGAGGGGGGGGGGTCTTGACTTTTTATTCACCCTGTATATCATGTAAGATTTTAATAGAGCAGAATTCTATGTTTTATTGTTAACAGTGTTGAAGTATATATCATTATTAGAATTCAACATCTGCAGAGGTTTCAAACTATAACAGGTTTCATCCTCCATCTCTTAACAGTGAACACGAAAATACAATCAAAGAACCATCAGTAAAAGGAAAAAGTTAAAAAGTTTTCAAAACCTTATCCCATGAAAAAGTTACAAACATTAATAAAACTTTCCATGTTGATCAAGAGGAAAAAAATGATTTTTATGCGGCAGCCAAGGAAGAGGGGTTCCAGAGCTTGTATCTAAGTGCAAATTATGTACACATTGTGTAATATGTACAAAATAAGATAAGATATATGAATAACAGATTTTTTTTTATTTAATTGATCCAATAATGGAAGTTTGATATGACCAGACAAGAGTTTGGTCCGTCAGCCCAGCACCACAGAGTACCTCCCTGGTATGCTACACTCGGAGTCGCCAGGCAGTCTGTTGCCTCAGTTCCCGTCATGGTCGCTGGTGTGTCTCGGCCCTTCTAGCCTTTACTCTCACAACCTCGGCCTACAGGATCAACAGCAGGCGGGCATGTTGGCCTCCGCCTACCTGCTGCCTTGGGACGTCATTGTCAGGTACTTTATTTAGATTACTAACATTAACCACATCAAACCAAGATCACAATCTTTATGTGACAGTTTACTCTTCACATTATGAAACATGTTCCCCACATTTAATGCCCTTCCATGGTATTTGAGTGTGTACATAACTAAGCATTTTTCATGCTTATTTTGAGTAAACTGTTTCTAAAACTATATATGGCGCCCGATAGCAATATAAATTTCTTTACATCTTTAATTTAAATCCTCATCTATGTCCTTAACCATGCTGATGTGTAAAAGTTGATTGATTTAACTTTTAAAAATTTAGACATCATGGCATAATTTGATTGAAAATTACTCTATCTTCACCTTAAGGTCCAAGATGTTTACCAGGTTACCATTCTCTTTTGTTTTACATAACCTACCTTTTAATTTAGGCTTCTTGATTGTGTGCTATTTTCATATTAGATTTGTAACATTATATTTATAAAAATTGATTTGTAAAAGTTAAAATGAAGTTTTATTAATGTCAATATTTCTGTCACAGATTAGAGCAAACACAAAAGGATCGTTTTTGGCCCACTGTTGGGGAGCAAACTGGTATAAGCCGTATGAAGCCAGGGCAATCTACGGGATTGTGCAAAGGGAGAAAGAATAAGGGAGGAAAAGGTTATAATTTCATTACCTGTTAGAAGTTAATGTTTCTTTCTAAACATATAATCACATAACACTACTTCAGTGAATAACAATTACAGTAGAACCTTGATAGTTAGAAACTTTGTGGACTTAAGGGATGTCGAACTATCGAAATGTCGAATTATAGGGAGTAAATGGAGTTTTATTTACAGGAAAGTAAGAACAATATATAAATCACTCAAATTTTTTAAATACTAAAAAGCTTAAAAATTTCACTGTTCATTAGTTAGCCCATTGGGGAAGGAATTAATGTGCTGCCTGCAGCACCCTTTGTCGGCAATTAATTTTACCGAATTTGTGGACTTTTACTCTAATTGCTATATAAAGAAAACCTTAGGTAATAAATTAATAATTCCTTCACCATTTTGTTTACAGTAAAACTGTCTACAGAAAAGTGGTAATTGGATAGTCAAAGTGTAAAACTAAAAAAAATATATAAAGATTAAAAAAATATAAATTTTAAAAACTATTTTTTGAAAGTAAACTTGATTTACAAATTCCAAGATTAATCCAGACACCAAATAACACTACTATTATAAAGTTCAATTGATTCCCTACAAATAAAAATCAAAAGTTGTGTACTTTCATAAGTAATAACGTAGAAAAAAATGTGTTGGTTTACCTTACCGCAGCTGATTTTTTGTGATATCTGGTTTCCATGGCAACAGAAAATTGTTTGTTATTCGCTAAAATAAATGATTAACTACGCAAATCAAGAAGCAAGATATTTATAAACATTATAAAAGTAAAAAGAAACAAAAAGGGGGGAGAATAATAATAATTAAATAACTAGTAGTGCTGCGTAGAGGTGACACGAGCGGCACTCGTAAGTCGGCCGCCAGGCCTGCAGCGGCCGTACGAGTTAATGCTCGTAAGTCGGCGCCAATGGGTTAAGTCTCAAGTCGACAATAAATGAAAAATTTTTGTTCAAGTCAGCTTACATCACAATATAGTAACCATTAAATATCGCTCAACAAAATAGCTCAGCCCGTGTCGAACTACAAGGAGCGTCGAACTATCAAAGGTTTACTGTACCTTAGTTTTGAAAAAAAAAAGCTTTTGGCCTCTGCTGTTCATTAGAAGAACTCAATTTGTGATTAATGTTCTTTAATACCTGAATCACTATTTAGTTCAATATACTATGCATAATTTAATTTGTAACATTATCAATATTTTGTAGATCTGTCCGAGTTTAACGTGAAGATATTTGTGGGAGTGGAGTACGAGTGTCCGAGAGGTCACAGATTCATGTGTTCAGCCCCAGACAAAGTGCTCAAGACCTCAGGCTCTGGTCTGGTCAAGGACAATGGCAACAAAGTCACCAGCTCCGACATGCCTCTCTACTTCCCATGCCCTTGCAGGTCAAGTACTAATCATCTCTCAGTTAAATTGTCTGTGTTGGTATTCTCTGGATATTAAAAAAATTACATTTACAAACATGAATTTCATAGAAGTACTTCAGTATAATTGAGAAGAGCGAGTAAAGCTCTTATATGTCAACTCTTATGCATTTAATCATACGCAAACTCCTCCTAGACGGCTGAAGCAATCCTTTTTCTAATGACAATAATAGGGTTTTTACATACCTCAGTCAAATAGTCCAATAAATGATATTGCTCAACAGCTTACATGTTTCGTTGCGAAGACAACATTTTCAAAGCTTGCAACTCGTCAAAAACGCATTTAAAACACTGGCACAAACACAGAAAACATTAATATGGTACAAATACACGATAGACATTTAGATAGCGCTATCTACATTTCTAGCAGACTCAGAGTCTGCTACCAACCCCGTGCCGCGCCGGACCAAATCGGTATTATGATAGCGCTATCTAAATTTCTATCGTGTATTTGTACCATATTAATGTTTTCTGTGTTCGTGTCCGTGTTTTAAATGTGTTTTTGACGAGTTGCAAGCTTTGAAAATGTTGTCTTCGCAACAAAACATGTAAGCTGTTGAGCAATATCATTTATTGGACTATTTGACTGAGGTATGTAAAAAACCTATTATTGTCTTAACAATATAGTCCAGGGGCCGAATACATGAATTTTGATTGCTTTTTCTAATTTTGCATGGTTACGGTATAAAGACCATATTGGCGAGTGCCAACATCTTTATAGCATAAAAAAGAATCCTCCCAGGAATCCGTCCCAATGGTCTCCAAGTTTCAATGTAATCCTTATGGAAGCAGTATTTGACACATGAACAAAGGCATAAGAACAGCTGTTAACTTTTAAATGCAGTACATCAGGAAATAGTTGATAGAATAATAATCCAGTAAATAGAGGTATGTTAACTTACAAACGGTCTAACTAACTACTGTCTAACTAGTAGTAGTTATATATTTTTTAAATGTTGTCTAGGATCGTAAGTAGGTGTTTAAAATGCAAAATGCAAAATTTTCCCCCCTCCGCGCCCACCGCCATTTTGGAAAAATCGGAAAAAATCTGTACTTTCTTGATATTTTCGCCTATAGCTGTGTTTTGGTGCATTTTAGCGAAAAGGAAGGAATAGTCAATGTTAGACAATTAAATTTCCTATAATATACATGAATATCTTGTTTCTACCACTTATGGCTAAGAAAATACTCACTTAATAAAAAGGGGAAAAAATGAAATTATTCAAAAATTTGCCAAAATTGTTACTTTAGATTGCTGTAATTCAGTAATGACCTATTCTAGCAAAACAAGTATCACAATCAAACTTGTAGAGAATTTAATTCCCTACAGAATGCTTCTATTTTTCTTTATTAACTGTTGGAAGTGGGGCTAAAAAAATAAAAAGCAAACAAAACTAATTAAAACAATGGGTCTATTTTTTTTCTTTTTCAAATAAACTAAGAACATATAAGAACACTGATTTACTGGAGCTTCGCTCGTTTCATAGGGGTGAGTGATTGAAGTCGGAGTCTTTAATTGTCCTCCTCAAATAGTGAAGTTAGTAGATCGGCGTTGTCTTTGTCATCGACGGTGACTTCATTCCTGTTATTATATTATTGGCTACCATAAAACTTTTTAAAGAGCGGAACAACTGAACAGGCTGTACAGGCAGAATTTTTATATGATCAAAAAAGGAAGTTTTTGGTGTATGTTAATGTTTACCCCTCCCCCCCCCAAAAGGGGTAGTTTATCTCCTATCGAGTTATACATAATTGTAAAAGTCATAATAAAAGAAAAAGAATGGTGCAAATTAGAGGTATCTACATCAATCTTATCAAAAGTTATGGCATTTCACAGTTTTAATTCCCCCCCCTCTTTTTTTTGGAAAAACACGTTTTTTTACAGTTATGGCTCAAAAACGGTAAGAGCTAGCAAACATTTGAAAGGATTTTGATGGTCATGAATTAAATTTTCTACAAAACACTTGTTGGAGTTTTCCAAAAATCAAACTCGTTCACCTTAAAAAAAAAAAAAAAAAACGCCCTACTTCCAAAATTTTTAAAATGTTTCGGATGTTGACGTGTTTTTAATTGAACAACAAGCTGTAGCCGTTTAAAGGGGTAAAATATTAAACTTTGAACTGCCATAAATTTTGATAGGATTAACGTAGAGACCTCTAGTTTGCCCCATTATCTTTCTTTTATTATCCTTTACAAATATATATATAACTTGATAGGGTTTACATTTGAAAATTTCGTCTTACCCCCAAACTACGCCTTTTAGGGGGGAGGGGGTGAACATTTAGATACACCAAAAACTTTCTTTTTTGGTCATTTAAAGATTCCCTAAATATTTTTTATCTCTATTAAGGCTAAACATCCCAGGTTTAGTTCCAAATTCTGCCACCACGTCGCAGCACCAAAACGGAGTCATTTTGTGTTGGTGTTTATTGGTGGAATTTTCATCCGATTTTCATTTTGAAAACTGATTTGTGAACGGGATAAGATAACAATTCACGCCATTGAAGATACATTTGAATTAAGTTGCTGGTTAAAAAAATTATAGTAAAATAATTGTGTTAAAAAATAAAAAATAAAAATTGCAGGTAGTCATTTTAAAGACAATAATTTTTAATTAATTTTACTTTTTAAATTTTTTAAATCGCTTGGCTGGTTCAGTCGGTATCGTTGTTTAAACATTTAAAGTAATTATAACAAACGCGAGAGAGACATGAAGCAGGTGCAGGACAGGGCCGCTGTGACTCATTCCAAGGTCACACTCACATTCACTACCCTCCCCCCACAACAAGGCTGGGGTGTTGCTTGTACACGGGTGGATGACGGTTTCAAATCGTATTTAGTAGGGATGGACGAGATTGGATTTTTAGTTCGAGACGAGACGAGACGAGATTTTTTATTTCTCATGAAATTTCGAGACGAGATCGAGACGGGATTTCCCTTCTCATACACAACGGGAAATGCACGTTCAAAATTTTTACCTGATTTTGTAACATTGTTAGATGACTGTTTAAATACAAAAATAATGATAATAGGCAAGAATATTTACAATCTTTTATTAAAAAACATCAGCATAACATTTTTTTATTAATCACGCCTAACTTCTTAAAAATGCCTACGATTAGGAAACATAGTGATATCTGTTAGGATAGAGTTCAACTTATCCTAAAATAAAATAAATCATAAAATAAAAGCAATATTAATTTTTATAAAATAGTTACTTGTTTTGACTTTTTATAGTAATAAAACATTCCTCACACTGCTTACACTTAACAAAACTTCTCAAATGTTATTAAAGTAATATTATTAAAATAATTAAAGTAATATTTACATTTTAAGAATTAATTAAATAAGAACGCCTTCGCAAAGGAAACGCAACTACAACACGCTCCTGTATTGCGGGTATTGCATTGACTTTCTGCAGGCGTTTTTAATTTTTTTTTTTAATTTTTTTTTTTTTATTCTTGTCTCGATAAAAATCTCGGCCAAAAGACTTGACCATCCCTAGTATTTAGGCCTAATCAAACTGTAAAATTGGTGTAAATCAGTTGGCAAATATCTATACTATTATATAAAAATCTAATGGTGTCTGTCTGTATGTGTATTACTAATAGGTGCAAAAACTACTAAACCAACTGGGCTTAACTTTTATAAAAATATAGCTACCATACCAAGGACCATTATAGGACTATTCACACTTTGATACTGACCGTGGGCTTTGCCCCTTTAGCTTTAAAAGTTCTGAGGTGAGGATTTTAAAAGTAAATATTGATTTGTCTCCATGGCTGTGATGAGAACACTAATAATGTTTGTTTACATTTGCTTTGACATTTCAATGTAAACAACTGATTTCACAATGCATATTTCACAATTTCAGACAGCTGATAGAAAGAGATTAAATATAATATTTTCCATAACTATGAGGTAGTTTTTTTAATCTAAAGTTTTATCATGGATTATTTATTCTAAAACTATGTCAATGAGTATAGAAAAGATTCTATAACCGTTGCTGTATCAATTCCGGCTCTGCTTTGGATTTCTTAAAGCTTAGTTATGAAAATAATGTTATTGGTATGTTTTCATGGAAACAGTATGACAATTACAATGTTTAGATGGTTTGTATGAATTTGGAGGCATTTTTTTATAATTTCGAACTGCTCAACATGTGTTGGATAAACTTAACATAACTTACACTTCACATAGATTTTTTTTATTTAGGTAAATTTAGTAATTGTGTTTACCTAACCCGCCATGTTAAACTTCCCTATCCCAAGCATGATGTATATAACTTCGTTACTTCTCGAGTGATGTAAAGCTGAAAAAAACTCACTCGGTGATGTAATGAAACCCATTTAAATAACATTGAGTGCTTAACTTAAAAAAATATACCTCTATGGAGCCAACGACGTTCAACGCTAGAAATCATCTGTGCGCTTGAATTTTATTGTTATGTTTTAAAGAATTTTCCTAACCTAGCTTTTATTTGTAAATAAACGTTACTGTTAGAAGATGAGTGAAATGGATAATGAAAAATATTGTTCGTAACCTCCTGTATATTGTCGGGTCAGGTAAAATCTTGTACGTTACACGTTACGCAAGAGCGTGTTTACATTACTTAGGTAAATTATGCAACTCGCTTCCGCTCGTTGCACAACATTCACCTGCGTGATGTAAAAACGCTCTTACTACACTTGTAAGGTAAATAGCTATTTGCTACACGAATGATTAAATCAAACTAAGGAAAAATATCATAAAACTTAGCTGTACACAGTGTTCTTTTGTTTCTAAAATCAATTATGTCTGTTACTATGTTTACTCAATGATAAGTGTGAAAATGTAATGAAAATGGACTATGGGACTAAATAAAAGAAATGGTTTGTATATTATGTTGTTCGTTGATATTTTGTAGGGTAAAATCATAGATGCAATGAAACATATACCGTATTACTATTAAATTTTATTCG